TTTGTCAACCTGTAGACAAAGCTTCATGCCTTGTCTTTCCTCCATTTCGTGTGTTATGCATTTAAAGTCACTGAAATAATAAGAATTCAGAAACTCTACTTGTTTCCCATTATTTCCAGGCTGATGACTAAGCTTCCCCTTTGTTTCCAGTTAATAGGTGGTTTTGTCCTTGCCATTGGTATCTATGCTGAGGTGGAGAGACAACGCTACAAGACACTGGAGGGGATGTTTTTGGCCCCAGCTATAATCCTGATCGTCCTGGGAATTGTGATGTTTATAGTCTCGTTGATTGGAGTCTTGGCTTCACTGAGAGATAATCTAACTCTACTGAAAGTGGTGAGTGGTGTTCTTGCTCACAAGTTATTAATGTGGCCGCTAGATTCTTAGTATAAGACTTAAGACATTAGACTTTAGAATTTATTGTATGTAAATGTTTAATTCTTAGTTTTTCAAAGTGAAACACTATAAGAACTATTGTTTTTTTCACTTTGCAGAATTGTCTTATTTGTAAAGCTGATAGTGTGTGTTAATATTTACCTTTATCTTACCATTGTATCAGTTTAAAACATCAAACATGCAAAAAAATGATCCGAAGACAAACACACACAGTAAATGAAGCCGCACTGCTGTGTGTGTTGCTATCCAATGTCTCTGTTGGCCCTCCCCACATTCATAAAGCATCTCTTTAGCAGTGATGCTCCAGCAGTGATGCAGACAGACATCCCCTTTTTCACTGACGTCATTAAGAGCACACAAACAGAGCACAGATGTCTGCCTCTTTGGCAACAGATATAGTGTACGACAGAGGTGAAATATCCTGATAATTTCTAAACAAATGATTGAATTAGTTAATTTATTTATGTACTATGTTTATTTATGTTTATTGTTAATTTTATCTGAATAATATGCAGTTAAATATGTGAGTATACAGTATAATTGTTCTTTTCTCTGTTATCTGTTTGATCACAGTTCATGTACACTTTGGCAGTCTGTCTGATCCTGGAGCTGCTCGGAGGAATCTTGGCGCTGGTGTTCCGCAACCAGGTGAGCTGTCTGTCGGTGTGATCAATCACACTCAAAGGCTTTAAATTCTATGGAATTTACAACATCCTATTTATTTACAACTGGATACAGAAGACAACCCAATAAATCTGGTGAAAAACACATTAAGACATGCAATAAATGCTTTATTTATTGTACAGAATAGACCAAAGCATTAACATTATAATATTCAAAATTGAGATTACAATTTGAAAAATAGATGATAAAAATATGAACAATATGGATTCGGGGGTAAGCCGAGCCTGTTGAACCATCCATTTACCACCTGACCTAAACCACACAAAGTCCCCTCCACAATGAAGCTCTGGAAAGAGGACAGATTATTTGTGCTGCTCCTCTGTAGTGAGGGAACTTGATAGTAACTAAAACTTAATATATGTATCACTGAACAGACACTGGTCTGCTGTTGTTTATAAGGAAATGATACAAACCAAACGACCACTCAACAATAATAAAATAATAATAATAATAAAAAACAGGAGTTGTCTACCTAAATTTGATAATAAATATCAATATAAAAGACAATATTAATGTCAGCTGCATATTTTAGACAATTAATGAACTAAACCATGCAGGTGGTACATTATCTTTATTAAATGGGAACTATACACCACACTGAAATCTTATTTGCACATATGTCTGGTCTGGAAATGTACAGGGACTCCATAATCAGAAGGAACCTGCTCTAGATGAGATAGGATTATTGTCTGTGTGATATTAGTATGATTAAATACCGCATGATCTTGTGGTGAGTTCTTCAATAATGGTTCGGTGTCATCTGTCTCAAAGGGAAACTAGTAGATCAACTCCATGTCTATAAATTTTAATGTGGTTTAAAAGGGGCTGTCTTGCCCAATAGCTTCACTGTGAGGGCCTGTTATGTTCAGAGGAGGAAGGAAATAAATTAAATGAAAAGCTCATTCGCCATAATCTTTGATTCTCATGAGGGTAGCAGTCTCATTTCATCAAAGGGACGTGAAGACAGAGCACTGTTAGGCCTGAATAAGAAAACACGTCTGAGGCTAATAAACCAGAATCTAGACTGGCTCTCAGTAGAGCACATACCTCAGCAAGGCCCAATAGTCCCCTTCCATTCTGCAGCAGATCTGTCATTTTCATTTGAACATAGTTCTCTTCTAGCGCTATTTTTTAGTGAAAAACAGCAACACCCCTATGAAACCTCATTTAAATCAGCCAGATCTGGATTTTTTTATTGAATCAACAGGCTCATAGGTCACCTAAATATGACTGACTGTTTTTCATCAATATCCATGCATTAAAAATCTGTGAAAATGTCTATATCTCGCAATTTAACATTTTTAAAAAGTCTGCATCCGCCCTAATATTTAATGACTTCATTAAACAAGTTTAGTGGAAATGAGTCCAGCAGTTTTTGGATAATCCTACTGACAAACAAACAAACATACAAATGAACACCTACAAATGAGGTGTAAATGCATAACCTCCATGGCGGAGTTTTATAAAATGAGAGCATTACAAACAATACAGTGTAGTAAAATTATTCCTAAATGAAAATATGTCCATGAGTTTACTGAAGAGGAGTTCCAAGCTGCAAATATGTATTTCCAGTCTGTGGATAGATTGACACATTAACCCTATAGTGACCCCTCTACACCAGATTGTGAGCGACAGATGTTCGCTGATTTGCAACACATCTTGATATTCCACTTCAGTGGATCAGTCACCTTGACTAGTCACAGCACTTCCTCTGCAGAGCTCAGCTGCCTGTCTCACACAGCGGATGGTCCATCAGCTGTGTCATTGACAAAAACAACATGGTAACATGACCCCCCCTCTGTCCCATGAACACACCCTCACTGTGTTATGTATTTTCACTCATGTAGACTGTGGACTTACTGAACAAGAACATCAGGAAGGGCATAGTGAACTACTACGATGACCTGGACTTCAAAAATATCATGGACTTTGTTCAGAAGAAGGTAAGGTTATACAGCTCCTACCTTTCTGTCATTTCACCCTAAACATTTCTGTCAACAAAAGACCAAATTTAAAGGTCACGTTCATATAATGCACATACAGAACAGACAGCAACCATGGTTACTATTACAATTCTGATTCAGGGTCTGTTAAAACTAGCATCAGTAAACTTGGATGATCACAGCAAGTCGTGTCCAAAATACTGAGCGAAGTGTGCCAAGCGAGCACAGTACACCTGCTCCCAGAGTTCATCATCCTGCCACACACACAGCAGCTGAGCATTTCACTGCCAACTTTTATCAAATACACAGTGATGCAGTGTCGGACTGATCACACAGTGACATTAAGAAGCAGCCAGCAACAAGTCCTCAAATGCTCCTTCAGTCTGCAGGCTTCACTCCTTGTCGCAGAGTGACCAGCACTTGTTCTGGAGCAAAATTGTGACTTTGATAGTTTGAAAAATTGAAGCCCCATAAGTGTATACTTAGCTAGTTGTGGGATATGAAGGTTCAGGAAATGGAAGTTGAAGCAGCTGCGTCAGCTGAAATTCCTCCACTTTGGAACTGGTCAGCTTGTAGTTACATTACTCTGAAGTGTGTGGTGAGGCTACCATTCATATCTGTTTCTTTCTATGAACAAGAGTTGAACATCGCATTTTTTGTCAGAATTAGATCAGCTGTTGGTATTTGACATGAGAGATTTCTCTTTTTTCTTCTCACTGGTTTGTGGGACTGAGCTCAGATGGAAATTAGAAAACTAGACTAGCACCTTGTTTTGCCAAGGCTCTTTATCTGCATTTGTATGTGGATCTGCACCAAGTTGAACACACACATAGATATCAGTCTTCTTAAATTGTCTTAGATATGTTAAAGAAAATGGATCTGTCACTTTGTCGGGATCCGCACCATCATTTATTGGGTTCTTCCTTGACCCATACCACATTCTTCCTCCAAATTTCATGGTAACCTCTCCAATATTTTTTTTTAGTGTTTTTCCTTATAAACAAACAAATCAACAATCAAACTGACAGACCGGGATGCAAACATAACCCCCTCGGCTGAGGTAATTATTAATATATATGTGATAGCAACTGTGAGGTTCTCTGACTGATCTGATCAAACCACTCTGACACGGTCAAGAAGATTTATTTCAGCATAAAAAGCGTCTGTAAAAGTAAAATGTATTATAACAATGAATTGATCATGACAATATGAAAACAATGTGTCAGTGAGAAAGGTGTTGTTCATAGTGATGAACCTGCAGAGAATCATAACCAGAACCTGGAGCCTCCTCTCCTTGGCCATACAGAACTTTATACTATTATCACTCACTCGTTTAGTGTCTGCTAACACATTCAACATTCTCAGTGATTCTTTTTATCTGGGATGTGCTCCCAGGGTCCAAACAAATAATTTCATGTTTAGACATTCATGAATGTCTCAGATGATGAAGAGACTCTGTCATCAGTGCCAATAGTTTCCTTTCTGCCAGGAAGTTATTGTTGTCATGCAGTTCAAAGGTGGACTCCACTACTCTGCCTGACGTGCATGTGCATATTAACTTCAAATGCAGTTGTACATTGTTATCATTCCAAACAAAAGACAGTTTTGGGTGTGTTCTTTAACCTACCTAACCTACATTTACAGGTTTTATTCCCCAATTCTTTTGTAGAGGTAAAGATTATATCACCTGACCAAGTATATTTTATTGAAGTGTGTAATGTGCATTGTAATATTGTGATTAATCACCTGATATCCAGTCTGTGGACATCACTCGAATGGATAAAGTTTAAGATCAGGGATGTCAACTGTAAACCTAACAGGGCAGATGTGAAGTGTAAATTCAACAGGAAGTGTAAAAAATATGATTATATGTCATATCCTATCATAGAGGAGAGTATTAGTCCATGTATGTTTACTTCTACTGTTGATTAAGATTTTCCCACTTCTTCATCAATATTTCCTAAACAACATTACAGTGTTAGAATGAGCCTTTTCACAAATACAATGAGATAAAATAAAAGGCTAAAAAAAGGACAATCAACATGCAGATAAAACACCGAATTGTAAAAGGTGAATTTTTCCAAAGCTTTGTATCGGGGGATCACACCATTTAGTTAGTTTTAAAAGTTTTAAAAAGCATGTAAAAGAAGCTTATACAGAACCCAGTACTTTGTGGCCTACCTGTGCGGCAGCTATTTTGATCAATCTTTAATCAATACATCATTTGTCCTTTTTATAGCAAAATTGTTGAATATTCTCTGGTTCCAGCTTTATATTTATAAGCATTGGTATGGGGCCATAATTGTAGCAGAGCTGTGATTGGAGAAGTGTGTAGTGTCATCTCAGTCTATGCATCGTTTTGAGATTTGTACAGGAATCTGCAAATGTGTCCTGCGTGTGCCAAATGTGTTAAAAAAATGTTTAAAAAAGGGCACAAAAAAGTGACAGAACCCATCTTAATGCTTTTTGATCCAGCTGTAAAACACATCAGGTTTCCAATAACAGGAAATGAGAAAACTCCCTTATTGTAACAGCAACACAAACCCATGGATTAGTGGCAGTTCACATCATATCCTGTATTAAATTAATTCCAATCTGACCTTTTCTGTCCACTGCACCTCAGTGTTCTAATGGAAATGTGACATTTATTACACCAGAAACAATTCCTAGGTCTTCAACACTGAGAAAGACAGTGAGGAGCTTCCCTAAACGCAATTACATTGTCTATTCAAAACACTAATTATACCTAAGTATTCTAATGGAAATATGACATTTATTACACCAGAAACGACTCCATTGTCTTCAGCACTGAGAAAGACAGCGAAGAGCTTCCCCCCAACACAATTACATTGTCTATTCAAAACACTAATGATAATATTGACTACTGCAGTGCCTTATTGAAATAAGCTGCATTTTTAGTTTTCTTTATTAGAGGAAACCTTAGTGAATCAGGAGTTACAGCACAGCGTCAGTATCAACATGTTTTTACAGCGCTGCAGACAACAAAGGACAGACACCAACCTCAGAGCTGTGTGGCAGTTTGACACAAAGGGCTTGAGGTAGTTATTATCACACTGATGTTTGTCCAAGTGCTCATGTTTGCAGCAAGTTAGGTTTTAGTTATTTGATGCTGTAAAAACTGGGGTGAAACGTCAAGATTGACAGCTGTGAGTGACTCACTATTGTTGAACTATGTGTATCATCGGGACATCTCTACCACAGCTCCATCCCCTGATTGCTCCCACGTAGACTCTGGGTATTTACACTTAAACAGTGCAGTAGGGATGGAGTTAAGGGTCTTCAAACCATAAGATAACAAACTCTGAATTGATTAGAAAGAAAAAATTACAATGTTAGTATATATAGAATAATAATAAATTTAAATGTTTCACGTGATTTTCACAAATCCTGTCCATCCTGTGTTCACTAAAAACCATATAAAACCATATAAACAGTCAAAGAGCAGCCTATGCTTGGGCTAATATTTTTCCTCTGCGGCCCCTAAAATTTGGTAAAACAGCTCCTTTCTTTCTTTAACCACAGGACTGTCACGTGACTCTGATTAGTGGAACCCTGCAGCCTTAGGGAAAAAATGAATTAGAAAACCAATGAATTGAAGAGGCGATCAAATGTAGTGATCAAGTTATTTAAAATGCACCAGTCAATGTTGCCCTGTCAAAACTGACCAGTCAGTAACTCAACCTGTCTACTATTGACCCCTGGATTTATCTGTTGGACCTGGAGAAGCCCTGATTGATCAGTTTTCAGTCTGTATCCACCCATCAGATAGGAGGCTGGCTTAAAGTTGGCAGGAACAGTCCATGCTCGTGTGGAGCGATTGATTGTTTGGTCAGGTTGTGTTGCTGTAGGTCCTCTGCTGCTTCACAGGCGCGTCACGACAAGATAAGAGTTCCTCCTTATCGTCACATGGCCACCAGCAGTCTGCCAGTGTTCGACTGACTGATTACTTCCTGGTTGTTGTGGTTGTCCACTGTGCCCTTTTCAATCTTGGAGGGATGCTAACACCTTCGGCTGTGAACACTAGGTTGTTTATTAATGTAACGTCTTACTACTCTAGGAACCGTAGAGGTTATTTATATCACATTTCAACTTTTAACTCAATGAAAATAAAAGAGTAACATATTGGACTCTTAAAGAACTCTAGTGTATGGATGCTGGCTTCATGCAAATCATATAATGTCAGGCTGATTTTATGCTGAAGCAGTTGCTGCAAAGTTTATACCTCCATAGTGGACCATTGTGCATGTAAAACTTTGTTTGCTGAAAACAGGAACTTCATCAGGTACCGAAACATAACAGGTCAGCATTAAAAACTCTATATCATTATTGTTAATTCTGCTTTAATCAGCACATAATAATGTTAAGACAAATTATAAAAGTGTACAGAATAATAATTTTGAATTAGTTATTATGCCCTGTTTCCATATGCTGTTGTTGGCAGTATTCTGACCTTATGTTGAGAAAATAAATATTTGACATAGAAGGGGAATGAAAGAGCCTTCAAGTTTCATAAAACTATTCAAAAGAAACATGATTTAACATTTATACATGTCTGAGTGCGTTATGATAATGAAGGCAGGGAGCAGAGGATGGACTGACTTGTGTCTTATTGTCAGCTCAGCTGTCTGCCACTGCAGCTGGTCATCACTGTCTACAAAGTCAGTCACTTCTTTGAGCCATATAAAACAGGATAACATATCAGTGTAGAGTAGCACAAGTAGATATTAACTGTAGTATACATTCTGTATGTCCACATTATACATCAATAAGTGAAACCTAAACGATTCATGGACTGCTTTTCATAAAACACTTTTCAGTGCTTTACATTACAGGTCACATTTACCCCTTCACACACACACTGTTACAGTGAGCCTCTATCACACATATATTCACACACTGATGGTAAAGTCTGGGATCAGTATCTTGCACAAGCCGACCTCAACATGCAGTCTGAAGGAGCTTGTGATCGAACCACTGACATTTAGATTTGTGGGAAACCCAGTCGACCTCCTGATCCACAAATCCTGTAATAATAGAAAAGATACACAGTTCTTCAAAAATAACTGCAGAATAAAAACTCATTTTTAGGATACTACTACATGTATGCACTGACTGGTACACTGTTAGATTATACTGTAACACTGGAGGGCTGGGATATAAATCATATTGTTTCAGGGTCAAACAGAAATGGTGTTTGAATGAGACAGAGATAAAAATAAAGGAAAACGCTAGAATAATAGGTCACAATTCTTGATGTACTTTATATATTTTGCTTTAATATTAGTCCACAGTCATCCCCTCTGGAAAGTGACTGCAGGGAGTTTATAGTGGGAGAGGGTGGAGGTGCTTCAGTCCACTGCTGCAGTCTTGTTGGTGTTGACCGGTGTTTTGAGAGGTCGGAGCTTCAGGTTGATCTTGTGAGAAATTGAAAAACTGAAATTGACATGAATCCTCCCTAAGTGATTATTCACTGCAGGACTGATGGATTGTACTTTACTGTAGAGCTGCACCATGACTCCGCCTGTCTGAACTTGTAATGTTTTGTGGATATATACTTAGCAGCTGCAGATATCAATCTCATCATAATTGCTTTGCCTCCCTGCGACCCTTGTGTGGGCCCTGACCCAGAGTTGGTGTTCTCTGGTGTTCTCTGGTGTTACACCATCAGGAGCAAATATTGACTTCCTGGCAGCCTGACATCATGATCACACTGTCTGCCAAAGAGCCCACTAATTCTTATTCATTTATTCACCTTTTCTATTATCTCGTGTCTCATCCTCTCTTACTGTCCCTCTTGAGTCTGACCCTTTGTCCCGTTTGTCCTCCTTTTCTCTCTTACTACCTTTTGGATTCACTCCCTCTCGCCCAATAAAGTTTCTGTCTTGGTAAAGGACCACAGAGCACAGCTGATAGTGACTCTTGGGTTTTTGTTAGTCTTTACTTTCTGCAGCAGCTCCCTACCCAGTGAAAATACAAATCAAATAGAAATTACTGATTCCAGATTAAAACATTTTAGACTGTTACTGTTATTATAAATGTGCTACAAAGCAGCGATGGGTATAATTATTAAGCAGCAGGACATTGCTAAAGAAATGAAAGTAGTGGAAAACATGAATTGATTGTGTCCTGTCTCTGCATTGATGCAAAGTTGTCCATCGCGATGCATCTAAGAATCAAGAAATGACCTCACCTCTACATCACTAATAACATTGGTCACAGCTGCATCCTGTAAATGTTCTTTGGTACAGCTTTGCCTTTACTGCCATGAGGAGTTCAAAACTCCACCATGACAATTGTCTTTGTGTTTTGCATCAGAATTAATTATCTGTTTGTATTTTGATGTTTATTTCAATAAAATTGAAATTACCATGGATACTGGACAGAGCAGTTTTTATAAACAGCACGACACAGAAACAGTCAATTATACCAAATAATGAAGTTGTTTGAAACCGTGTTTGAGTCATTGTGATTCAGAAGCTCTCAACCAAAGGCAAAAATAATTATCTTTCTATAGATAGCTTATCCAGCCTCGTTTATTGGCCCTTTGAAATAATAAAGTTTGGTTTTCTTGAAGGTTTGTTCAGTAATGGCTGGAATAGAGGACAATAAAAGTAATTGGTTGGTGTCACATTATTTTGTGCCTGTAAACCAACAGCAGGAGGTCGGTGTGAATCAGTGGAAGCTCTAGGTGTAATTCATTCTGGGGGAGTGTTTATTTTAAGTTTTGAGACCCTTTGTGTCTGAAAACTATGAATTAGGAGTTTAATGTTTGTTAATGTGACAGTCATTGATGATAAGAATTGTTCACAAATAAATCATTTACAAATTCATATTGTCTGAATTAGTGATTCAGAGCAAATCTTTAGCCTAACCACCACCTGTCCACAGATTTATGTAAAGTTAAAGGGAGACAAACACACAGACTCATAATTACATGCAAATCATCATTAATTGTGGTTCATTTCATTGCAAAATGTTACTGGCATTGCCTGAGCACAGCAGAAATAATGTTTTTTTACAAAGTTGTTTACATTTTATCCCTCTCCCTCACCCCTGCCCACCCCACTCTTCTTCACCTGATACATTTTCCTCCATCTCATTCTTTATCTCTGTTTTTTCTTCCTTCTTCTCTGCACTTGTCTCATCTCTGGCAGTTTAAGTGTTGTGGAGCTCAAGCGTACAACGACTGGGAGTTCAACATGTACCACAACTGTTCTGCACCTGGTCCAATGGCCTGCGGTGTCCCGTATACCTGCTGCATTACTACTATGGTAGGTACCACAGTTACTTAAACTCTGCTGCTATCACAACGCCAACTGCTGCTGACAATATCTGGCACCATCCCTGGCACTAATACTGTTAACTACTATATAGAATCACATCGCAGCGTCCATGACTGTTATCCATTCTATTTCAACTTGCGTTCAGCTATCACAACTAAACCAGTTCTATTACTACTGCTGCTAGTATACAGTCATTGTAAAGGGTATGACTATATTGTCCTTATATTGTTTTCATCACAACACAGCACTAGAAACCTAGTAAACAAGGCCTTAACATCCTCATGAGCTCAATGTCCAGATTTTGTGAT